TGATGCTACGCTGACCTTGCATTGTCCATTTCAGTCCTTTCCATCACATTGCGGATCCTTGGCTCCCTACGCATTGTCCCATTGGGCATGCGTCAGTTTGGTATTGGAGCACCGCTTGTGAATCAGGACAACCTGATCCGACACAAGCGCGGGGACAATCAACGACTGATCGATTGATTGATTAGTTTACACTAATTAGTCCCCAAGATCGCAGATTTTGACCTAACTGCCGAAATCGACATTTTTTTCTTTTCTTGGATCTCATTTTTCCCGCTATTCTCATTCGTGGAAAATCGCAATAGCGTTGCATCTCAAATTTTCGTTTTTCTTCTTTTAGGAAATTCGAAATTCCGGTGCTGGAGGTCCGGAAATATTACGAATTTTTTTTTCGATTCATCCTTTCCCTTCGCAATTCCCCGTGAATTCGAAATTCCGAAACTTTTTCTGAAATTCTTATTTCCGAAAATCTTTTTGCGTTCTTTTACTATTCACGCATTCCGGATGTAACGGAAATTTTTGAAATTTGACTGTTATTCCCAGATTCGGAAATTATTTTTTGCGGGAAAAATCCCTCGGCAGTCATTTGTTTTCAAACTGCGCATACTCTCACTTGAGAAACGCCGAACTTTTTTATGTTTCGAAATTCTCCGAACTTGGAGAATTTTTTTTTATTTTTGCAGTTCAGTTATCTTGATCATCTCCATTCATTATTATTTTTCTTTGCGGTCTGAAATTCGAAATTTTTTTGAATTACCTGTTGTGGGGAAACATAGGAGACCTACCAAACTTGCAATCGATAAATTTTATTAATTAATAATTACTTAATTTATTTTTAATTATTTTCTCGAAATTTTTGCGAAGTTCCAACTTTTCATTTTTGATTAGTGGCTCCTCTGGGCGATTCACTCGATGTCCCCACTCCCCACCTCTCCCTCCCAACTCCTCTTCTTCTTGCTCAACTGCCCATCAGTTCTGGCTACAGCCTTGGTAAGTCCCTATTTTTTAAGGCCACGTCAGCTACCCGCGGTGAATGACCCTGCTCACTCGTTCACAGACAGCAGGGATGGATCAGAAAGCCAACGAGACTGACGAGGCCTATGAGGCACGTTTGGCGGCCATCATGGCTGAAAGCAAGCAACGGGCAGAAGCATCAGCAGCAGCATGGAAGAAGAGGGAGGCAGAGGCAGAGAGGCTGCGTCAGGTCGCCGAAGATCAACGACAGAAGCACGCAGCGGCAGCAGCAAAGGCCGCCGATGAAGAACGTGTACGGTGGCAGGAGATTCTCTTCAGGGAGGAAACTGCGTTACACGCACAGGCCAGGGATTGGCAGAAGGAGGCCGAGAATGGAGACTCCGTTGACTATGGGACCAGGATTGCTCTCCTGCTCAACCGCGTCACGGACCTCCTCGCTACTTGCATCGCACAACAGGAGGACATTCACTCTCTCGACCACGCCAACCAGGCGCTGACTAAGCGCATACAGCAGCTGGAGCAGCGACCAGTCGCTACCTCCAGCGCCGGCCCCTCCGACCTCGTCGACCGCGTCAACGTCTTGGAGATAGACGTGGGAACGCTCAAGACCGAGACATAGCGACTGGACCAGCAGGTGGGGGCAGCAACCACATCGAGCTCAGCGCCTCGTGAGAGCATCCCCAAATTTGAGGGGCTCCCGATCTTCTTCGATGCATCGAAGACGGACCCCATACCTTGGTGGCGCCAGTTCGAATGAAAGCTGGACATCCACCACGTCGTCCACACAAACCGGCACGCATACTTGTACTCCCGGTCAGGAGGTGCGTGCCAAGCATGGCTGGACAACATGTCCGCACATGCATGCACAGTCTTCGAGTTACACAAATTCATCACCTGGGCCGATCTTACGGCGGCATGGAAGAAACGTTTCCAAGTGGAACCGCCCGAGCATTAGGCGATGGACAAGCTGCTGACATTCGCACAGAACAGCATGCCAAGCGGAGATTGGATATCTGAGTTCCAACGCCTGGCGAGCACGCCCAAGCTGCCAATGAACTTCGACGGCATCAAGCTCTACTTCATCAAGAGGTCGTGCGCAGCGTTGCAAAATGCGTTAACTTAGGTCGTTGAGAACCTCAACACAAGTGAGGAACTCTTCAACAAGGCCGCGCAGATCATTGTGACGAACTTGGAAGCCAAGAACATTGGCCGTTCGTCGACAGCCGGCCAGGGCGGGTATCAAAATCGGCCGAAAGTGGTGGTGGTCGCGGCAGCAACGCCAAGCGACCCTTCAACTTCAAACGAGGCTGCCTCTTCTGCCGAGGGAGACAAATTAGCAGCTGCCCATAATGGTGGCCGCCCCGCCAAAGGATGAGGACGCGGCAAAACAAAGACAAACACCACTTCTTCTGGGCTCGGACAAGCAACTCCAGCTCAAGAACCTTGGACACAACATGGTCTGACGGAGCGCGGGTATCGCGTCCGCAGCAAGTACTATTATTGTTTGTGGTGCAACTGCGCGGCACATGAGACCGTGAACTGTCCCACGAAAGCCAAGGGCCCCGCCCAGTTGGGAAAGTGAGCACTGCCGAGAGTGATGCGACGACACTCTCGACGCCTTCGGAATCGGTTGCCGTACGGGTAACCTCCCTCGGTTCCGGGGCACATGTAGAAGTTGCAAGTCCTCCCATTCTTCATTCTTTCGAGGACTATGCTGCCCGGCTCGTACCTTTGCTGAGTTCACGTATGTGCGGTTT